ATGTAATTAAATGCAAAGGAAGACTGTTTGCCATCTGCCTGCAAAGTGTTTTTCTTTCTTTTCTAGGAAATATTCATATGTTCTCAAATGTGACCGATGACTTTCAATATTACCGCCGGCGGCACCGACACGAGAGGACACAGACACGGAAGGAAGAGGAAGAAGATAAAGCTCAGGTGCAGAGGGAGGGGAGGACAGCTGCTACTTATAAGCAGCTGTGCTGAGCTACTTTTATGAGGCAGGTCGGTTCTAGAAACTCACCTTGCACTGCTGCCAAAACATGCTTTAGGAGAGCAGAGGCAGTGGTGAGAAGAGTTGCGTGATTGGCCCAAATGAGCCAGAATCTACCACTACCACACCGCCAGTTCTTTTGTTTCTCTCTAGACCTTAGTTTCCTTGTGGGGCTGTTTTGATCCAAGTTTTCTCAAATACAGAAGAGCCTCCTTCAGAAGATTCAGGGGCCAGGGAGATGGCTCAGTAGAATAAGCACTTTGGGGGCCGAGGAGATGGCTCAGTGGAACCCCCGGTTCCACCAAAAAAAGAAGAAGATTCAGAACTCAAATGGGCTCAAGCTAAGGGTGCTAAGGGTCTAGGGAGTCTCATGAAGCTCACCAGTGAGAAGCCCCATTAGGTTTTCTGACAGACAGGAACTGGGAGCTGATGCCATGAGGCTCCCAGGCAGCTGCACTCACCAAGAGCTGGCCCACACTGTCTTGTTCTTTCTAAGCAGCCTGGTGTGTTCTACTTCCCCTTACAGACAGACAGCATGGTGCCTGGCATTCTTATGAAGGGTGACAAACCTCAACCCACATCCCCTAAGAGGAATAACCCTGGTAGCGTTAGGTGGCTCCAGTCCAGTCAGCTGTGGCCAAAGCAGGAGGGTCACATAATACTCACCTGGATTACAGAGCCTCACCCCTGTGGGAATCAAGTCTAGGCTGATTTATCTCAAGGTGTTTGCTCTTGGTCCAGAGAAGGGGCTGCAGGATTACTGGGTATCAGGCTGAGCAGTGGCTGGGCCTCCTTCTGCCTTCTCAGCAGAGAGAAGAAGAGTTCCCAGAGAAGCTTGGGGCTTGGTGGACCCTCCTTAGAGTGCATAGAAATTTATGTTTCTTTAGGATTTCTTTATATTTGTACTTTTAATAAGCTTTACATTGATGAAGAATGATTCAACTTTTTTCTTTTTTAGACTACATATTCTGCATTTATTCAGTTACTTCCGGTTCTTGTGATCGTAGTCATATCTGTTGTTACTCAACTGCTGGCTGCTAATCCTCCATATAGCCTATTCTATAAATCGTAAGTCAATATTTATAAATGTATCTTGTTTTGTTTTTGGTCTTTTTTGAGACAGGGTCTTGCTATGCAGTTAGGCTGGCTTTGTAGCTCAGACTGGCCTCGAACTCACAGTGAACCTCCTGCCTCAACCTCACAAGTGTTGGGATCGTAGGCGTGCACCACCATGTCTGGCTATAAATCTATCTTAATAACAATATGGAACTTGGAAGACCATGAAGGTTATACTGATATGTTGCTAGCATTTTGTTTCACCTTTCACTGTGGAAAACACTGATTTTATGTTTAAAGAAACAGCAAAGTGGTAATAGTACAGACTCAATCCACTGTAAGGTAGTCTCAGGAGGGCCTCAGTTGGATTGTTCTGTTTTACAGCGACATCAGCTGGTCAGTTACAGAACAGCAGCAAGTAGTTGTGAAGAAACTTGATGGATATTCAGAGTAAACCCATTTCTCACCATAGTAGTTAGAAAGGATCCTACTGAGTTTGTGATAGGATTACTGGATTTGTATGGCTCCGGAAGGGTATTAACTGGACTCAGTGATTACTTTTAATTTTAAAAAAATGGGCCTGGGAGATAGCTCAGTAGAATAAAGGCTTGCCTGGCAAACACAAGGTCCTGAGTTCAATCCCTGGTACCAATAAATAAATAAATAAAGTTGTAAGAAGGATCCAGACATGGTGGCACATGCCTTTAATTGCAGCACTTGGGAAGCTGAGGCAGAAGCACTGCCATAATTTTTAGGTCAGCCTGAGGTACAGAGAAATAATGTCTCAAAAAGCAAAACAGAAATGTATACTCTCAGGTTTCTCTACATATTGATTGAATCAGAAACCTTGATTGGAGTACAGACCAGGTAATCTGAGTTTTAACAATGATATTCCCAGTGTCATCATAGCCAACATTGAAATTTGAGAATCATTGAATTAATTTTTTTCCTATTACTCATTAATATGATTTAGTTGACAAAAACCTTAAAAATAGAAGAATCTGACTGGTACTATAGCTCTAGAGTTAAGCAGGCACCCAGCATGTGTAAGACCCTGGGCTCTACCCCCAGCAGTGAAAAAATGAGTAGAATTTATGGGTCACTACATGACAGGAAGCATCTTTGTTGGTGATCACTGTAAACTGAAGACTAATGTTCTAGGCCAATATTTTCATTTCTAGGGAGCAAAGCTGAGTTGTAGTCAACAGCTCAGAGAAGTTACTATAGTCAGTTTACTCCAGCCTGACCCCCTCAATTTCCCAACTTATATTTTTTTCTGATACATTTACTTTGACCTTTTTCATGTCAGGCCAGGGAGGCACATGAGGGCTGCTCTACTGCTGGCTTCCCAGAGGGAGGTGCAGTCTTGTCCTGCGAGCCTAAATGTTTGGCAGTATCCTTACATAGGTCAAAGGAGAGGGCCAGGGAAGGGCCACATTGAGCTACATTGAGCTACGGCTTTGGGGAAATGGCTCAGCAGAATAGGGCCTGCCTAGCAAGGGCAAGGTCATGAGTTTGATTCCCAGTACCAAATAAATAAATAAACAAACATAAAGATGGATTTTGTCTAGCTTGGGCTTTGTATATTGGTGTCATATTGTTTTAACTTGAATTTGAGCTCAATCTAATTCATTTTGTTTTGGACATAGGGTCTTGCTATATATTTCAGGCTGCCCTTAAACTCACTATATAATCTAGGCTGGTCTTAAAAGCAGTCTTCCTGCCTTAGCCTCCTAAGTGCTGGAATTACAGATATGCACTACCTTTAATTCTTCAGTATGGTTAGAGTTGCAACAGACCTCTTCGTGGTTCTGAGCACCAGACACTGTTGGATGTCTTGGACCCCTAAAGTGTCAGGCATTGCTGCAGTCCTTTGTCTAAGTCTTTTGTAGCTCTCATTTAGTGGTTGTGTGTGATGTACTTTTTGTCAGGTCCTAAGAGTTAGCTCTAGGTTGGAGCAAGCTATCTGGTGTTTTCTAAATAGTTTGCTGTAATGTCAATCTGTTCACACAGCCAGCTTTAACCACCTTTGTCAGGTGCCATGTCAGGTCCTCCATAATACACTAATAATTTTTTAAGCATTCAGCATTCTACTTTTTGCATAGAAAACAGCATAAGAGAGTAAATCTTTAAAGAAAATAAATGTATGCTGAAACTGAATTCACCATATAAACTTGCTCATGTAATTTTTTTGTCTGTTGATGACATTTATTTATTTACTTATTTTTTAATTTTTTCCATAATTTTATTGAGAAACGAAGAGCAATGAGACAGTTTCAAATCAAATAGGTAGGACAGTTTCAATAATTAACATATTGCATACTGTCTTCCTAGTGGTTATTTGCCGTACAAGATGCAGACACGATATCTTATTTACAAACACTATTAGAATAAATCCCTCTATTCATTAAGAGAATGTAACTATATATCTATCCTAACCATTTTTTTCAAAGTTTTATTGATAATATCCTAACCATTTTGAATACACAGATACAAAATGGACATTCATCTGTATCCCCTTTTTTGTTTAGTTCTGTCATTTGAATATTATAGGTGTGTTAACTCAGCAAAATATTCTAAAAAGTCCAGTAGTCCATAGTAGTATTGGGTCTTCTGCTTCACTGGCAATGTCAGAAATTGTTGACTTGAATCCCCTACAGCTCAAC